TTCATCCCCTCCCCATGCATTCATCCCCTCCCCATGCATTCATCCCCTCCCCATGCATTCATCCCCTCCCCATGCATTCATCCCCTCCCCATGCATTCATCCCCTCCCCATGCATTCATCCCCTCCCCATGCATTCATCCCCTCCCCATGCATTCATCCCCTCCCCATGCATTCATCCCCTCCCCATGCATTCATCCCCTCCCCATGCATTCATCCCCTCCCCATGCATTCATCCCCTCCCCATGCATTCATCCCCTCCCCATGCATTCATCCCCTCCCCATGCATTCATCCCCTCCCCATGCATTCATCCCCTCCCCATGCACTCTCATTTCGACCCAGTGCACCTACTCACCTCAAGGTCTTCACACAGCTTTGAAATGCCGTCCACGAGAATCAAATTGCAAGGAGGGTTTTTGAGGCGCTGCAAAAGTCGTCTCTTATCCCGCAACTCACCTCAAGGTCTTCACACAGCTTTGAAATGCCGTCCACGAGAATCAAATCGCAGTGAGGGTCTGAGACAGGGGAACAACAGCACGGAAGCAGCAGAGAATGGGGAGAAGGGGGCAGGTGATGCGAAGGAGAGTTTTGAGATGCCTGAAATGCCGTCCGCGAGAATCAAGTCACAGTGAGGGTCTGAGACAGGGGAACATCGTGACAGCAGGGAACAGCACAGCAGCAGGGAACATGGAGATGGCAGAATATTGAGTCATCTTATACGGGGGATGACTGCCGTCCATGAAGTAATGCAGGCAGGCATGAAGGTCCGAAAGAAGGGGGGGAGGACAAACCCCACCTTTGTATCTCAAAAACGACTGCTCCAGCTGACGTGGGTCCACTTTAGGGGCAGCGGAACGTCCCAAGGCCCTCAGCTGCTGACCCGAGGTGGAGGAGGAGTAGAAGAGATCGAACGCCAGCTCCATGTTCCACTCGCTCGCTCGCAGGGCCGCTAGTGCCCCCCGGTCACTGGGAGGAAACATGGGAATGATTGGAAGTGTAGGAGTGTTAGCAAGTCAACAGGCAGAGAATGCTAGGAGGAGTAGAAGAGATCAAACGCCAGCTCCATGGTCCACTCGCTGGCTCGCAGGGCCGCTAGCGCTCCCCGGTCACTGGGAGGAAAAGGGAGGGAGGGAAGGGAATAATGGGCCGAACTTCAGAGGAGGAGTAGAAGAGATCGAACGCCAGCTCCATGTTCCACTCGCTCGCCCTCAGGGCCGCTAGTGCCCCCCAGTCACTGGGGAAAAAGGAGGAAGGGGAGGAAGAAAAGAGAGGGCCGAGGTGGAGGAGGAGGAGGAGAAGAGGAGATCGAATGCGAGCTCCATGTTACACTCGCTCGCTCGCAGGGCGGCCAATGCTCCCCGATCTCTGGTGGGGGGAGGAGGGGAGGCGAGGGAGGGAGTGAATGGGACCCAAATGGAAGATGAGTAGAAGAGGTCAAATGCAAACTTCAAGTTCCACTAACTCGCTGGTTCTTAGAGCCGCCAGTGCCGCTCGATCACTTTAAAGAATGAGTGAACAGTGCTGAGGGATGGAAGACATACGGAAGGCTGCCAGAAATTGCATTCTTCGCCCTAATATTCGTGCTCGCCACGTGCCTGTGCTGCGCCCTCCACGTGCCTGCGCTCACTCACCTCGTGCCTGTGCTGCGCTCACTCACCTCGTGCCTGTGATGGCTACGAATTGCTGCACTGCCTCCTTTTGCTGCCGATTCAGACGGCTCTGAGGTGGGTGGGAGACGGAGAAAGGGGGGCGGGAGAGGAAGCGGGAGGAAAGCTACATTTGGTACTGTACGGCAGTAGAAGCACACAATTAAGGCCTCGAAATACTGTACCGCTTCCCTCTGCTGCCGATTAAGGCGACTCAGGGAAAAAACGCAGTGGGCGGAACAGGGAAAGACGGGGAAAGCAGGGAAAAAGGTCGAGTGGTCGAACAGGGATTGATCGAAGGAGACCGAATCGCAAGGCCGTGGCACGTACACTCATTGTGGCAAGCTGCTTCGATATACGCCAACTTGATACAAGTAGTCCGTGACGTCACCCTCTACTCCGTCTAGCCACCTTTTCCCAAACGCGCGGATAACCCTTCGTGACGGGAATATCAAGAGGTTTCCGGACGGATGTTGAAGAGAACGGTAGGAGACAATTTCCTCCTCCAAAGATATCTACCCGCGCTAATCTCAGGAGGATACTAATCTAATAACCAGAACCTAATCCAAGCCGTCGGTCCCTAATGGAAGCGAACGGCGATCAATGTGGTTCGAGAGCCGTTGAAAGTTACTGACGCCGTCGATGAAGTTGCACTTTGTAGATCGACGGTTCGTATGCCCTCAGCGTAGCGGACTAGCAATAGAGAGATCTACTAATAAGGCGTTCGAGATGCCGGCGAACAGGCGAGACGCCGCGGTCAGGCAATCGGAATATTGGAATATCCGAGTATCTGACTGTCAAATGATACTGCTCTTCAACCTAACTAAAGCTAATTCAATTTCCACGGCAAGTGCGAGTACGCGACTGGCATAGCAGTAGACTGGCTGTGCCACGAGTGTCTGTGTGTCAAACCAAGCGTAGAATGCGAATCCAATTCGAAGAGAAGAGTCGCTTGGTAAGGCAGGATCTAAGAAGCCTAGTTTGGCATAAGTAGGGGGGTAAGGCGAACTCAACTACTGCTGGAAACCAGGCGAACTCATAGGGAGGTGAGGGGAGGCAAGACCATGGTCAAGGCCAGGCCCCAGGAAGTCAGGGTATTTTACCCTGATTAGCCTGTTTTTCAGAGTGAATTTTTAAGGTCACCCTGCTGAAATTGACTTCGACGCTTGTACCGCCCTGACACGCCTTGACATGAGTAAAACCGTACCCTTCAATTCCAGGTGAGAGCATCCTGTCAGCCCTGCCTTTTCCGAGTCGAAGTCATTTTAACCCTGCTAAGGAGTCCTTGAGAGTCGAACTCTCGTGCTCTCCAATTTCAGTTAAGTCAGAGAATTTGGCTAAGACACTGAAACTCTGGAAATGCTGCCAAGTCTTTGAAACACACTGGAAATTTGGCTAAGTCACTGAAGCACTCTGGAAATCCGCCCAAGTCACTAGAACACACTCGACATTCAGCGAAGTCACTGAAACACTGGAAATTGGCCGTGTCACTGAAGCACTCAGAGAATTCGCCCAAGTGACTGGAGCACACTGGACATTCAGCGAAGTCTGAAACATACTGGAAATTCGGCTAAGTCACGCAAGCTTTCCGAAATTCGGCGAAGTCACAGAAACACACCAGAATTTTGTCTTTGTCGCTGGGACAAGCTGGAAACTTAGTTAAGTCCCTTTAACACGCTAAGCTCGCTCAGTGACGGAACAGGCTGTAATTTGACGAAGTCCTGCTCAGAGCGGGTCTGCAGAGCTCAGCAGTGTTAGCGAGATTTCTACCCTGCCAGTTCCGACAAGAAAATACAAAACACCCTGCCATTTCCTGAGTATGCCGCGATTGGCACACTGCAGTGGCAGGGTGAAGGTCGGCCACGACTCGCTTCTGGCAGGGTGCCCAAAAACACATCGAGAGGCCTGGTCAAGGCGAACCTAACTATTGCTGGAAAACTTTCAGTAATGTCACCTTTCAGTAAAGGCTCAGTCAAAGCTGCATTATCAAAATAACAATAAGCAATTTTGTGAACAACCGAAACCAATTTTGCGCGAATTGCACAAGGTCAAATGGAGTGTACCCCGTTTTTGAATTTGAATCTTTTCAACTCCGTCCAGCACAACCTTGAAATTGTCGCACGAAAACGGCTGGTCGTCAGCTTGACGCCTCGAACCATAGGGATTGTCCCTCGCTCGTCAGGAACGAGACTAGGCTGGGGTCGAGACTGGTCCTATTCGGCCGTTGGCTTGTTGCTGGTTCTCCAGTTGGTGTTGCGAGCAAGCGTGGTAAGGGGTGGTTTAGATTTGAGTGAGCGCTTATTCGTTAGGGTTCAGTTCCCGTCGTGGCTGTTTCGACCACTAGGTGTTTCCGAAATGATCCGAGCCGCGTTATCTTTAAAGCGCGTAATATGAGGCTCTCTTGACTTACGGTCTCGTATGCTTGAGAAATTCGTTTTCGCTGAACCGATTTCTTCGCCAAGTTAAAAGACGCCAGGCATTGAATTCTCATCTGCGTTCTTTCGACCGCCGTCAATACCATGCCGCCACGTGGCAAGCCCAGAAGAAGCTCGCGGCCTCTTCCGCTTAGCCAATCCCGTCGTAAGATTCAGGCACCACTGTCGCGTTATTTGTCGCAAGAAGTAACGCCTTCGCAGCAAGTCTCGCTCAGTCCGTCGCAGGCGGATCCATCACAGCCGTCAGTTTCGCAGGCTCCATCTCAGCCGTCCGTTCAATTCAGGTCTGAATCGCACCGAGCGAGTAGTGCAACTGCAGCAGTGCTCTTATCAGGGAGGACTTGTCACGGAAATGCCACTAAAGGAGGTGTGACTGTACGCGATGTGACTGATAAAGAAGCAGTGGTAGGATCCACAAAAACGCAAGGTGTGACTTCAGGAGGTGTGACCTTAGGCGATGTGACTGTAGGAGTTCCGGCGGAGGTGATTGAGCTTGATCTCGTGCCGAGTCAGGATGACGTGTCCAAAGTGGTCGAGCCGCCACGTCAGGGCCCAACGAGAACGAGGCCGTTAAAGGGAAAGCACAGCGCTCTGCAGAAGCCTCGTTTGTCGTTTTCCTTGCAGCAGCCTATCTGGTCCAGCTGGCAGCGGAAACGACAAACAGAGCCAGTGGCAGGCAGAGGTGGAGGGGGGGAAGGGGGAGATGGTGGCACAGGGGGAAGGGGAGGGGAAGGCGGAGCAAGTGAGGGAGGGGAAAAAAGTGGGGGAGGTATCATAGGAGGTAGAGGAGAGTGTGTTGGAGAGAGAGTGGTTGTGGGCAGTGGTGACGGAGTGAGGGGAAGAGAAGGAGCGAGACTGGGAGAGGTGGGTGTGGAAGGGAGGGCGTGGAGGAGCGTTACTGAAAGTAGGGGCTTCGGGGGTATGAGAGGGCTGGATGTGACAGCAATGGGGAGTGATACTAGAGGGGGGTTAAGGTGTGACAATAGCGGGGGGTTAGGGAGTGACAGTAGAGGGGGGACAGGGAGTAGCACGGTGTTTCATCCGACTGCTTGGCGGTGCGGGATACCTGCTGTGGTTAAGACCATTGCTGATTGGTCAGATGATGATGATGACAATGGTGGTGGTGGTGATGGTGATGGTGATGGTGGTTGTAGTGGTGGTAGTGGTGGTAGTGGCATCAAGGATGCTGGTTGGCTGGATAAGGACGGGGAAACGGAGGGAGTGGAGAGAGAAGAGGAAGGAGAGGGAGAGCAGGAAGCGGAGAACAATGAGGAGGAGGAAATGGAGGAGGAGGCAGGTGAAGAAGGGAAGGAGGTGGAAGGGAGTGAGGAGGAGGCAGAGGAGGAAGAGGGGGATGAGTGTGGACTTGAGGGGTTGAAGGAGCAGCACGTGGGAGAGTGTGAGAGGAGGAGGAAGAGGAGGCGTGTGATAGGGAGCGAGGAGGAGGAGGAGGAGGGAGGAAAGGGGATGGGAGAGGATATGGGAGAGGAGAGAGGAGGGAGGATAGGGGTAAAGGATGCAGTTGAAAGGGAGGAGGGGGCAGGAAGGGAGGAACAAGATGGAACGATGGGTGGGAACGATGATGACAGGGACGCTGACAATGATGACAGGGACGCTGACAATGATGACAGGGACGCTGACAATGATGACAGGGATGCTGACAATGATGACAGGGATGCTGACGATGATGACAGGGATGCTGACACTGATGACTCCATGATGACTGAGCCTGAGGACGAAGCCACGTGGCAGTCCCTGATTGAGCAGTCCGCTCACGAAAATGATGTGGAAAGTGCAAGGGAAGGAGAAAGGAGGAAGGTGGATGGGTTGGAGGCTGTTTTAGACTCACAAGAAGAGGACATAGGCGGGGGCGGCAGGAAGTCACTTTCGAGAGCTCTCAATAGTGACTCGGAAGGAGGGAGGAGGAAGGTGGATGGGTTGGAGGCTGTTTTAGACTCACAAGAAGAGGACATAGGCGGGGGCGGCAGGACAACGGTAGAGGAAGAGCATGAAAGAGAGCGTCGGGAAGCAGAGGAGAAAGGGAAGAAGGGAGAAGACGCAGATGCGGAAGGGAAGAAGAAAGGAGAGTCAAGAGGACGAGGAGAGATGGGGAACGAGGATGGGCAAGGGAGAGGGAATGCGGGAGGCAATAGCCAGATGGCGCAGAAAGGTGCCACGGGGAGACGAGAGGAGAGAAGCGAGGGGCTAGAAGAGGAGGAAAGAGGTGATGAGGGGAAACGAGAGGAGGGAAGAGGAGGAGAGGAGGTGAGAGGAGAGGATGGGAGGCTAGACGGGACAGGAGATTGTGCAAAGGGAGGAAAGGAAGAGGAGATGTTGAGGGGAGGAGAGGAGAAAGTACTAGGAGATGCAGACACACGGTGTGTACAGGACGGAGTAGAGGCCTTGGAGGAAGGGGAGGGGACGGCGATGGGCGAGTTTGACTTTGAACCGCCCTCCTTCTCCCTTCACGTGCAGCCTTCTGAGCTTCAGACGGACCCTGATGATGGGATGAACTTACTCCCTTCGCAGGGCTTGGACGCTCCCAGCTTCTCGTTGGGGCTGGAGGGTTGGGATGGGGAGGCCGCGTTGGGCGATGGGCAGGGCATGGCAGAGAGGGACGGGCAACAAGGAGCAACAGAGAAAGATTTTGAGACGCTGAATGTTGATTCTGCTCTGCACATCATGTTTGCCCTGCCACAGGATTCTGGGAGAGCGAGCAAGAGAGGGAAGGGCAAGCGGAAGCGCAAGTGATGTGTTACCATTGTGACAAGGTGGGATGGGAACTGGGCAGTTACTCAAAGCGCGTAGTGTTTTGGGTGATTTGGCGGCAGGTGCACTGTATTCATCCAGGAGTTCTCTTGTAAGCAATCCAGGTGGCTGTATTGTTGTAATACATCTTACTGGTATTCTATAATTATCAACGAGGTGTACTGAATGAGCCTACAGGAAACGAAATGAATCTATATGTCACAGTTGTTATGCAAAAAAATAGCTTCATGCAATCAGAGATGGAGTTCTGCAGTGACCTGTCATTTCTTCTTGCTGTCTATCAACGGCTCAGATTCATCCTCCTCACCACTGCCATCTGAGCCCTCCGTTTTATCACCCTCCTTCCCTCCTTTCTTCACCTCCCCCTCTCCCTCTTCCTCCTCGTCCTCACTATACTCACTCATATAATCATCATCCTCATCATACCCCTCCTCCTCCTCCCCCTCTCCCTCCTCCTCTCCCTCCTCGTCACTCTCCCCAACCCCTTCAGAAGGTACCACTGCCCCCCTCGTTCCAGCCCTTGTTCTCTTGCCCACCTGAAGGAAAGAAGGAAAGAGGGAGCAACAGCAAGAGGTGCAATCAGCTCAAGCGTTTTTGTGATAGGAGGGAAGTTGAATGATAGAGAGGAGGGATAGGAGACAATGAAGGGGAAACGGTGGAGAGATAATGTCATAGGGAAGGCGAGCAGTGGAACAGAGGAATCAATCCATTCCCATATCACGCCCAATCCCACTCCATCACATCACGTCCCATCCCATTCCATCCCATAGCATCCCACCCCACCCCACACATACCTTGATCTTGAGAGGGACCTTTTTGTCGCACCCGATCCACACATCGCTCACCACCATGATAGTCAGTGCATGCACCCCTTCAGCCGGCGCCTGAAACCTCCCAATCACCAGCAATCCCATACCATCCAATCCCATCCCATGGTTCGAGGTTTCAGAAACAGACATACCTTGATCTTGAGAGGGAACTTCTTGTCACACCCAATCCACATGTCACTCATCACCATGACAGTCAGCGCATACAGCCCTTCCTCGTGCTATAAACTCCTTCATCCCACCCCAACCCACCCCATCCCACCCCACACATACCTTAATCTTCAAAGGGACCTTCTTGTCACACCCGATCCAAACATCACTCATCACCATCACAGTCAGCGCATACAGCCCTTCCTCGTGCTATAAACTCCCAGCTGGCGCCTGAACCTTCCCAATCACCAGCAGTCCCATACCACCCACCCCATGCCATGAGCAGGTTCGAAGATTCCCAAAGCACACACCTTGATCTTGAGAGGAACCTTCTTGTCACACCCGATCCACACATCACTCATCACCATCACAGTCAGAGCATACACCCCTTCAGCCGGCGCCTGAAACCTCCCAATCACCAGCCTCGCCCCGCCCTTCACCCTCTCCACCGCCTCCTTCACCTCCCGCGCCACCTCCCCATCATCAAACCCCTCCGCCTCCACAGTCTCTCTCGTGTAATCCGCCGCCGCCCGGATCGCCGCCGTCTCATCCAGAAAAGTCACCCGCTGGGAGAGCCATACGGAGTTCCCGGCTTGGTCTGCGAGCATCAGCCAGAAGGCCTCGTCTTTCTGGTAGGGGAAGTGCGGCATATGGGGGTGGGCCACGACGGGTCCGTTGCCGCTGGTCCCGCGGCGCATGGTGAGCCAGATGCGGAGGGTGACGACGTCGCCGTCCTGAATGCCGTCGTCTGCGCCCTGCGTGATGCACGCCGCATCGACCAGTATCTCGGGCATCGTCCCGAGCGTAGCCTCCACGTCGCTGGCCTCTGAGGGGCTGAGTCCCCCCACGGTTGTGAGCAGGTCGGTGCGAGCCTCTTCGCTCAACTCCCTCAGCTCTTGGAGGTTCTTTAACTTCTGGTGATTGGGGTGGTGGTGAGGAGGGATGGGGGGAAGGGGGGAAGAGGGAAGGAGGGAGAGGGGAAGGGCGCAGGGTGAGCCAGCCAGATGCGGAGGGTGACCACGTCGCCCTCCTGAATGCCGCCGTCTGCACCCTGCGAGATGCACGCCGCGTCCACCTGTATCTCAGGCATGGTGCTCAGGGTCGCCTCAACGTCACTGGCTTCAGCGGGAGTCAATCCTCCCACGGTGGTGAGCAGGTCGGTGCGAGCCTCCTCTGTCACTTCCCTGAGCTCCTGGAGGGTCTTGAGCTTCTGTTAATTGGTGATGAGGGTGGGGGGGGAGGGGGGGTACAAGAGGGAGAGGGGAAGGCAGTGTTGACCAGCATCTCAGGCATGGTGCTCATAGTCGCCTCCACGTCACTGGCTTCCAAGGCAGTCAGACGCCCCATAGTGGTGACACAATGACACTCGCTTCTAAGGCCTCCACAAACTTGCTCTGTCAGCAGCACCCTACCCTCTTATTCTGCTAACACTGCTCACACCCTTCACCTGCTCACACCCTTCACCTGCCCACACTGTTTCTCACCTTTCTAATGAGTTTCTTCATCACCCCCTCGTCCACATGCGGCAGCTGCAGCAGAGCAGCAATGCCCTCCGCACAGCCCCTTCCCTCTATGTGCTTCGAACCACCCTGGGAGCTTCCAACACTCCCACCCCGACTGGCCATAACCATTCCCCACCAACCCACACCGCTTCTCACCTTCCTCGTTAGCTTCTTCACCACCCCCTCGTCCACATGCGGCAGCTGCAGCAGCGCAGCGATGCCCTCCGCGCTGCCCCCCTTGTCCGTCTGCTTGCGGGCCGACAGCGGCACGGCCTGATAGAAGCTCTGAGAGAGCTCGATGGCCCCCACTGCTGGACGCAACCAGGCATGGCCCACAGGGGGGCGCGGGTAGAGAGAGATCTGGGCGGATAGGGGGAAGAGAGAGGAAAGCAAAGTGGCAAGGTGACGAGGGGAGTGAGGAAGGGGGGAATTGCTTGCGAGTCGACAGAGGCACGGCCTGGTAGAAGCTCTGAGAGAGCTCGATTGCTCCCACTGCTGGCTGCAACCAGGCATGGCCCACGGGAGGACGGGGGTAAAGAGAAATCTGTGTGGGGGGTAGAGGAGGAATTAAGGTGGCGAGGAGATGAGGAAAGAGAGGGGGGAAAGGCATTGCTTGCGAGTCGACAGCGGCACGGCCTGATAGAAGCTCTGAGAGAGCTCGATGGCCCCCACTGCTGGACGCAACCAGGCATGGCCCACAGGGGGGCGCGGGTAGAGAGAGATCTGGGGAGGGGTAGCAGAGAGAAGGGAAGCGGAAGAAGATGCAGCAGAAGGGGAATGAGGAAGGGAGAGGGAGGGAGGAACAGGGGAACATTGGGTCCTGTTTGCCTTCCAACAGCAACGCCACACACCGCAACACACCGCCACACACCGCAACGCACCTCTCCATAAGCCGTGGCATAGGCTTGAGAAAGGTGTTACGGTCCTGCCACAACTCTGCTGGCACTGAGTCTGCCTGCCGTGTTCCTGGCACACGCAGTCCTGTTTGCCTCTCACGAGCAATGCCACGCCACACGCCACACACCGCAACGCACCTTGATAAGCTCCTCCATGAGCCGTGGAGTGGGCTTGAGAATGGTGTTGAAGTCCCGCCGTAGCTCTGGTGGAACCAAGTCCGCTTGGCGTGTCCCTGGAGCACTGAGACTTGTCTGCTACATACCAGCACCACCACACACCGCAACGCACCTTGATAAGCTCCTCCATGAGCCGCGGAGTGAGCTTGAGAATGGTGTTGAAGTCCCGCCGCAGCTCTGGTGGAACCAAGTCTGCCTGCCGTGTGAGCTGCGCCAGCAACAGCAGCTCCACCTGTGGGGGACAAAAGCAGAGAGGGGACAGGCAGGCAGGCAGGGAGGGTGTGAAATTCACGGTGGAAAGAGCGGAAATCCTCACTTCAATAAGGAAAAGAGCAAGGGGTCTTACCTTGATGAGAGCAGGGAAGCGAGACCAGAACTTCTTAGTCTCCTGCTTGAGGTTCTTGGGGTCGAGATTGAGCTCAGGGCGCACGAGGGAGAAGACTTTCTGCATCGGCTCCACGTCTGACCCCCGCACCTTCATTTCTAAGAACTCCATGGCTTTGGTCAAGACATCAATCACCTTGCTGTGGGGGCATCAAGGGAGGGAGAGAGGGGGGAAGAAGGGGAGAGAAAGAGGAAGGGGAGGGGGTGTCGAGATTGAGCTCAGGGCGCACGAGGGAGAAGACTTTCTGCATCGGCTCCACGTCTGTTCCGCGCACCTATCTCCAGAAACTCCATGGCTTTAGTGAGCACGTCTTTCACCTTGCTGTGGCATGGCACATCAAGGGAAGGAGGGATGGGGAGGGGAAGGGGAGAGAGAAGGAAAAAGGGGGTGGGGTCGAGGTTGAGCTCAGGGCGCACGAGGGAGAAGACTTCCTGCATGGGCTTTATGTCTGACCCCCGCACCGTCATCTCCAGAAAATCCATTGCCTTGGTGAGCACGTCGATCACCTTGCTGTGGCGTCAAAGATAAGGGGGGGGAGGAACAGAGGGCAAGTGGGGCCAGGGACATCAAGACTCGCTGCATGGGCTCCACGTCTGACCCCCGCACCTTCATCTCCAGAAACTCCATGGCCTTGGTGAGCACGTCGATCACCTTGCTGCGCGTCGAAAGCAAGGGGGGGGGAGGAGCAGAGGGCAAGTGGGGGCATGGGCGTCAAGACTTTCTGCATGGGCTCCACGCCTGACCCCCGCACCTTCATTTCCAGAAACTCCATGGCCTTTGTCAGGACATCTATCACCTTGCTGTGACACACCAGGGGAGGGAAGTGGAGGAGGAAGGGGAGAGGGAGAGGGGGTCGAGATTATGCTCAGCGCGCACGGGGGAAAAGACGCGCTGCATGGGCTCCACGTCTGACCCCCGTGTATGAAGAAGTGTTTTGAGACGTCTCAAAACGCTGCATGGGCTCCACGTCTGACCCCCGCACCTTCATCTCCATACGGAGAAGACAAACTGAATGGATGTGTGATATGACAACAAGAATCGTCATACAGAACTAAACCCCCTGTATGCCGTAGTGCGTCACCGACAACTGGCCTGGGAGCAGCAAGGGGCGGTTGACTCAGCCACTCAGCTGGTGGAAGCATTGCAGTGCGTTCTGTATGGCACGTTGCAGCCACTCAGCCACTTCTTGAGATGCCTGTATCTCCTTTCTGCCTTATGGGGCCTTGCCCTGACTTTCTCCTCCTCTCCTTTGCCTACTGCGTTCCCTTCCCGTCTCTGCCCTACCTTCTGCTTGCTTGGCTTTTGAATCGGCTCAAAGGTCACTCAATCTCCTCTGAGAAGCTCCTTTACTCACCTCTCGCTTCTGCTTTTTTCTACTGCTTGCCTTCGTGTGGTTAGGAAAAAAAAAGAATCCACTAACACAAGAAACATACAAGCATAAGGCAAAACAGAGCCTCTCCTGTACGACCCCTTTCTACCTACCTAGCTGCCTTCCACCTACTCACTCACACCCATGCACCCAAGGGCCTGCCAGCGGTATCCCCACTGTGATGGCTTGCTATTAGCTCCAGGTGCAGGTTCGCTACGCTAACCCAGCCAGGCAAGCTGGTCTTGCGTCATTCCACAGTAACAAACCCACCATCCACTCAGTTCCACCAATCCTCCTTTTGAGGCGCTTCAAAAGGTAGCTAACCGAGCGCCCCAGCCCAGATGGACTTGCTTCAACCCACCATCATCCGCCATCTCATCTGTCTCAATCCTCCTTACTTGAAGGCTCGTCAACCACTCCCTCAGCTGTTGTCGGCTCTTTTTTTGAGGCGCCTCAAAACTAGACTGTCTCAATCCTCCTTACTTAAACGCTCGCTAACCACTCCCTCATCAGTAATCGACTCTTTCCCAACAACCTTCCTCAAACACTGCCCGCCACTTTCCTCCTCCTTCCTCGAATTCTCACCAACTACTCCCTCCGGTTCGCTCCCAACCACCTTCCTTGCGTGCCGCCCACAAACCCCCTCCACCCTGTTTGCATGCGGACAGAACAGTGTGAAGCAAAATCTCAGCTCAGTACATACAGCTTACCACACTTCATCTTATTACCACACAGGTAGGATGGGCTAGACCCAGAGGCGCTATACTGACCTGGGGGCAAGGGATGGTTTCATGAGCTGATAAAAATTCCTGAGCGTGTCTTGAATGACAATGTTGCCTGTGTACTTGGACCAAGGAGAGGGAGAGGTAGATGTATACAGGGGGCTGACGGGTAGTTATATACTGATCGGGCAGGAGGGCTATACAGACCTGGGAGCGAGCGAGGGCTTCATGAGCTGGTAGAAGTTCCTGAGCGTGTCCTGAATGACGTTGTTGCCCGTGTACTTGGAGGAGCGCGAGAGGTAGATGACAACCGCGATGAGCGGAAGCAGAATGCCCACCCCGACCAGGCCCAGGAGAAGGTACGCTCCCTGCACAGGGATTGGGCGTTGGGGTGGGGGACCATGGGAAAACAAGTGGGGGGTGGGAGGGCGTTTCGTGAATGTACTTGGAGGGACGTGAGAAGATGACGACTGAGATGAGCGGCAGCAGAATGCCCACGCCCACCAGCCCGAGAAGGAGGTACGCTCCCTGCACAGGAATTGGAGGGTCGGAAGGCGAGTGAGGAGAATGGAAAGGTGCTATATGACTGTACTTGGAGGGACGCGAGAGGTAGATGACGACTGCAATGAGCGGCAGCAGAATGCCCACGCCGACCAGACCCAGGACGGGGTACGCTCCCTGCACGGCCAGTGAAGGGGTTGGGAGGAAGTGGAGGAGGTGAGAAGGCGATTTGTGCTTGATACCAAGTAATACCTTACTTTGGCGTGTTGACTTCAGAATGAATCAACACACGCAGCCTGGTGCGAACCAGACCTACTTGCAGGCGGCAGAGTTGGGTGCAGGTCCACCTACTGCTGTGTTAATAACCCCATCCCACCTTGGGTCCTTGAATGTCCAGCATGAACTTGGGCAGCGCAATCCCCACGTTCATGGCCTGCTGCCCGTCGGGGTGGCCGTACTTCTCCCAGTTGGCCCTCGCCACCTCGTCTGTCAGCGCCTGGTACGCCTTGGAGATGTAATCCACAAAGAACTTGTGCGCGGCTGGCAGGGGAAAAGCAAGAGGGAGTAAGAGAAAGAGGGTGAGATGGGGAAAATAAAACTACCTAGCCCTTATCTCGCCATCTCGTCCGTGAGCGCCTGGTACGCCTTGGAAATGTAGCCCACAAAAAGATTGTGGGCGGCTGGCACGTGCATGCATAGGGAGACGAGTAAACAGGAGAGGTGAGAGGAAGCCAACCATGTTTTGAGACGTCTCAAAACACGCTTTTGAGACGTCTCAAAGCACGCATAGGGAGAAGAGTAAACAGGAGAGGTGAGAGGAAGCCAAACATGCCCTCGCCAACTCGTTTGCCAGCATTTGGCACGCCTTGGGAGATGAAATTAATTAAGAACTCGCGGGCGGCTGATAGGTTCACTTGCAAAAGGGCAATTACCTGGATAAAACACTTGAGAAAGGACATTACCTGGGTCGGGGTTCTTGTCAGGGTGGTACTGCAGGGAGAGCTTGCGATAAGCCTTCTTGATGTCCGCATCTGATGCGCCAGGACTTAGTCCCAGGATGGAGAATGGCTCGAAGGGCTGTGCCTGCATGCACACACACACAACGGATGGACAGATTCCTAATGACATCGCATTATGGCACATCTTGTCCTCATGATGTGAGTGGACGACTTTGAGATGTCCGCATCTGATGCTCCGGGACTTAGCCCCAGAATGGAGAACGGCTCAAAGGGTGCCTGCATGCAAGCACACGGACGGACACACGTTGAATGACATGACTTAAGTCACATCATGCCCTCATCATGTGATGTAAGTAGACGTCTCAAAAGGCATCTGATGCTCCGGGACTTAGCCCCAGGATGGAGAATGGCTCGAAGGGCTGTGCCTGCATGCACACACAACGGAACGGACAGAGAGATTGCAAATGATAACACATTATGTCACATCTTGTCCTCGTGATGTGTGTGCGATGTGAGTAGACGACTTTTGAGCCGTCTCAAAAGGCATCTGATGCTCCAGGACTCAGCCCCAGGATGGAGAACGGCTCGAAGGGCTGTGCCTGCATGCACACACAGGACAGGTGTCATATCACATTATGTCACATTACGGCATGCCTTGTCTCATTATGTGAGTGGACGGCATTCAAGGAGAGAAAAAGGTGAGGGAGAGAAGAGAAGCGAAAGTTGAGGAGAAGGGAGAAGATCGAGGAGGGAGAAAAGTAGGGGAGAGAAAGGGAAAGAAGAGAAGGGGTGGCGTACGTATCGGTTGAGCACTTTGATGTAGTAGAGGAGGGAGAAAAAGAAATTGAAGTGCGGAGAAGAGTAGTGAGTGAGGGGGCGACGTAAGTCTCGGTTGAGCACTTTGATGTAGTAGAGAAGGGAGAAAAGAAAAGTGAAGAGGGAGAGGAAGAGGAGTAAGTGAAGGGAGGACGTACATCGCGGTTGAGAACTTTTATGTAGTAGAGGAGGGCGACCATGGCGACCCACATGAGGATGAGCGTCACGTTCTGAACCGACAGGAACTTTGATACCTGTTTCAAGGTATGCATTGGTGGAGGGAGGAAGGGAGAAATTTGAGGAGGAGAGAGAAAAGAAAGAGAAGGGGGTTTTGCGGCGCCTCACTATGCGACCCACATGAGAATGAGCGTCACGTTCTGAACCGACAGGAACTTGGACACCTGTTTCAAGGCATTCATTGAAGCAAGGGAGGGAGAAACGTGAGAAAAGGTTTTAGGCGCCTCACATGTGCATGAGCGTCACGTTCTGAATCGACAGGGGCTTGGATACCTGCTTCGAGGAATCCGTTGGAGCAAGGAAGGGACAAAGGTGACTAGGGTTTGTAGACATCAGCGTTCCTGTCATAGCAGCGAGATTCTCTTCGAATGAAGTGAAGATGTGTGCATTACATGTATGGTCTGGACAGTTAGGATGCTTGGTTATTGGGATCGCATCACACCTCGTCGCACCACTTCGCATAGTAATGCATCACGACGCATCTGATCGCTTCACGACGCATCCAATCGCGTCACGTCGCACAATCGCATTTAATCGCATCACTCACGCGAGCCCAGACGGTCGGACGGTTCTTCGGATCGCGGTCGCACAGCGAGCACGGGCAGTGCATCGTTTGCTTCTTAGACGAGAAGAAGCCAATCAGGCGGTACAGAGTCCACGGTATGGCTAGTAACGCGACGATCGATAACGCGAACACCGGGAACAGCGCACTCATCTCCTCCTCCTGCGCCATGGCTGCCGAATTCCAAGCCTTGCTTCTGAATAATCCCCCTCTTTAGATCGTGATTCTCTGCGACAACAGTCTGAAGTGTGATGCAAGAGATTCGATAGCTGGATTGGAATTAAGAGCCTCTAATGAGAGCGCGACACCCAAGCCGCAACGATCGAGAGGCTGCAGACTAGCACAATCCACGGAGATGAGCAAGGGGAGTTGCTAGGCGACAAGGAGGCCACGGCGACGCGTAACAGCAGGCTGAGAAAGTGAAACTGGCCGCGCTCAGACTGGCGACTCTTGCCGTCCCGCTCCCACGACAGATCGGTGAAAGATGAGACTGGTTGTGGTGATCTGGTTCTGTTGCTCCGAAGATCCCAATGCCAGTGAAGCGACAATGGATTGGGAATACTTTAGTTGATGCTGAGCGTGATATGATGCGGAGATCTGTGCAAATTAGGCTGTGAGAAGTGTTTTGTATTTTCGTACATGTTTAACGGAGAACTCAGCGGTGGATACTGATTGCACGACCAGCGGTGGTGTTTGCGACAACGCAAAGATCCGCTGATGTGGTGGGGCTGCGCACCCGCATTTTGAGTGGGAGCCGAGAATCCAATTGGTCAGTTCTCCTTCGGGATCTCCGCAACTTGACCAGGCGTCCTCTGGTGTCTGTCCCAGCCCACAGCCCAGCGCAACCTTTGTACTGGACCATGCGATGCTCGACGACTCCGCACGAACAAGCACGACTCAAATTCATGTCGCGGTTCTCCCACATTTTCATTTTGGAAGAGGCTGCACTACAAACTGGGTAACCCGGTGGACAAGGTCCTTTCAGGAGCCTCAAAATTATTTCTATGTCCATTTCTTTTTCTGTGATGGCGGCCTGACATTCCTTACCATTCTTCTGCTTCCCTTCCGCTCCTCCAGTCCTCACTCAGGGCTATCTGTCAGAGCTCATAAATCTGACGTAGCTTTCTTTTATCCCTAGTTTCCGTAGCGCCTTTTCCTGTTTCCTTAGTCGTCGACTGCGTGGGGCCAATCTTGGCTCGCGTGGTATCTGCTCGCTCGTTCTTATCCTGTTGGCGTGGGCCAACATGGCGTTCTTATCATACGTTATCTACTTGATTTTCCTGCCGATTCGATGGCTGCTCTACCTCGTCATCGTGAAGGGATTTCACTACATCTTTCAGACGCTCGGATTTACGATCGGTTTGCTCGGCGGCTTAGTTGCCGGATACTTCATTTTCATTCATAATCTCCCAACCGCCGTGGAGGTTAGTCCCCAGATTCCTGTTGTGCTCTGCGACGCGTCTTAGCTGATTTCTCCCCATACGTTAATTCTTATAAAATATAAGGCTCTCACGTGTTTTAGACAAATATATCCTCGCATCATCTTTCTCCTGCATACGCAAACAACAATTTCCATGCGTTTACTTCACACCTTTGCGGGTTTCCATTCGTTGCTTCTATCCCCATCGTCTGATTTTCCAGCTTCTTCTTTCCTGGGGTTTTGATATCATGTTTTGTTCCCGCAGGAGCCAGAGGTGAAGGAGCTGATTCCTGAGGGCGCGACGCTGAAGGAGGAGGAGCTGCAGGAGTACTACTCGTATCTGCCGCCGTGGGTCAGCAACCCGGACTACGAGCGCGTCGACTGGATGAACAAGCTCATCGCCGAGATGTGGCCCTACCTCAACAAGGTAACTTCCACTTGTACCCTCACTTATAATGCAACTTCTATGATGAACTTTTTTATAATAAACAAGCTCGTCGCCGAGATGTGGCCCTATCTCAACAAGGTAATTTCCAACTGTACCCTCACAGCCGTCACAGCTGTGCTTATCCGACATGGCTGAACCCACTTTATCACAGCGGTCACAGCTGTGCATCTGACATGGTTGTTTCACTCTCTGTCCGTCCATCCGTCCGTCCGTCCGTCCGTCCGTCCGTCCGTCCATCAGGCCATCAGCGAACACGTCAGGGAACAAGCGGCGCCCATGCTCAGGGACCGAAAGCCCTCTCTCATCCAATACCTCTCGTCACGTGTCCCCTCCTCCCCTCCCCCACATCTCCACCCATTCGTCAATCCTCTTTGCGCCCGTCCGTCCGTTTATGTGTCCATCAGGCCATCAGCGAGCAGATCAGCGAGCAAGCAACGCCCTTACTCAAGGCGCAGCTGCCCGCGTTCATGAGTACCCCATTCCAACTTCACTGTCTTCTCAATTCATGTGTCCATGCGTCGGTGTACCTTTTGAGGCGCCTCAAAAGTCGTCCACTGTCTTGTCAATTCATGTGTCCATGCGTCGGTGTACCTTGTTGTATGTTTGTGTCTCCGCGTGTCCATCAGGCCATCAGCGAGCAGATCAGGGAGATTGCTACGCCCATTCTCAAGGCGCAGCAGCCCGCGTTCATCGAGACGCTTGCCTTCCAGGAGGTCGACCTCGGGACCATCCCACCTGCCGTCCTTGGTTAGTATGCTACATGCCCTCTGCTGCATGCCCTCTGCTACATGCCCTCTGCTACATGCCCTCTGCTACATGCCCTCTGCTACATGCCCTCTGCTACATGCCCTCTGCTACATGCCCTCTGCTACATGCCCTCTGCTACATGCCCTCTGCTACATGCCCTCTGCTACATGCCCTCTGCTACATGCCCTCTGCTACATGCCCTCTGCTACATGCCCTCTGCTACATGCCCTCTGCTACATGCCCTCTGCTACATGCCCTCTGCTACATGCCCTCTGCTACATGCCCTCTGCTACATGCCCTCTGCTACATGCCCTCTGCTACATGCCCTCTGCTACATGCCCTCTGCTACATGCCCTCTGCTACATGCCCTCTGCTACATGCCCTCTGCTACATGCCCTCTGCTACATGCCCTCTGCTACATGCCCTCTGCTACATGCCCTCTCCTACATGCCCTCTGCTACATGCCCTCTGCTACATGCCCTCTGCTACATGCCCTCTGCTACATGCCCTCTGCTACATGCCCTCTGCTACATGCCCTCTGCTACATGCCCTCTGCTACATGCCCTCTGCTACATGCCCTCTGCTACATGCCCTCTGCTACATGCCCTCTGCTACATGCCCTCTGCTACATGCCCTCTGCTACATGCCCTCTGCTACATGCCCTCTGCTACATGCCCTCTGCTACATGCCCTCTGCTACATGCCCTCTGCTACATGCCCTCTGCTACATGCCCTCTGCTACATGCCCTCTGCTACATGCCCTCTGCTACATGCCCTCTGCTACATGCCCTCTGCTACATGCCCTCTGCTACATGCCCTCTGCTACATGCCCTCTGCTACATGCCCTCTGCTACATGCCCTCTGCTACATGCCCTCTCCTACATGCCCTCTCCTACATGCCCTCTGCTACATGCCCTCTGCTACATGCCCTCTGCTACATGCCCTCTGCTACATGCCCTCTGCTACATGCCCTCTCCTACATGCCCTCTGCTACATGCCCTCTGCTACATGCCCTCTGCTACATGCCCTCTCCTACATGCCCTCTGCTACATGCCCTCTGCTACATGCCCTCTGCTACATGCCCTCTGCTACATGCCCTCTGCTACATGCCCTCTGCTACATGCCCTCTGCTACATGCCCTCTGCTACATGCCCTCTGCTACATGCCCTCTGCTACATGCCCTCTGCTACATGCCCTCTGCTACATGCCCTCTGCTACATGCCCTCTGCTACATGCCCTCTGCTACATGCCCTCTGCTACATGCCCTCTGCTACATGCCCTCTGCTACATGCCCTCTGCTACATGCCCTCTGCTACATGCCCTCTGCTACATGCCCTCTGCTACATGCCCTCTGCTACATGCCCTCTGCTACATGCCCTCTGCTACATGCCCTCTGCTACATGCCCTCTGCTACATGCCCTCTGCTACATGCCCTCTGCTACATGCCCTCTGCTACATGCCCTCTGCTACATGCCCTCTGCTACATGCCCTCTGCTACATGCCCTCTGCTACATGCCCTCTGCTACATGCCCTCTGCTACATGCCCTCTGCTACATGCCCTCTGCTACATGCCCTCTGCTACATGCCCTCTGCTACATGCCCTCTGCTACATGCCCTCTGCTACATGCCCTCTGCTACATGCCCTCTGCTACATGCCCTCTGCTACATGCCCTCTGCTACATGCCCTCTGCTACATGCCCTCTGCTACATGCCCTCTGCTACATGCCCTCTGCTACATGCCCTCTGCTACATGCCCTCTGCTACATGCCCTCTGCTACATGCCCTCT